TACATATTCGCAGTCATACTGCATTACCTGGCTTCTTTGCTGAGGGTAATGCTAGGGCTGATGCCCTTGTGTCTGCTGTGGCCTTGGGGCCGCTCCCTAACAAACACCAGCAGGCTTTATTATCTCATCGCTTTTTTCACCAGGGCAGCTCAGCGCTGAGTCGACAATTTGGCTTGATGCAATCCGCAGCACGATCTATAGTTGCTGCCTGCCCTGATTGTCAAGGACAGCAGACGCCTGTTTTCTATGGAGTCAACCTGAGTGGCCTGCAAGCGTTACAACTGTGGCAAAAGGATGTCACCCATATCACTGAATTTGGGTGGCTTCAGTTTGTCCATGTTTCTGTTGATACATTTTCCCAAGCCGCTTGTGCTACAGCCCAAGCAGGGGAGAAATCTTTCACCCATTTTTTCACATTTTTCCTCTTTGACTACTACAGAAAAGGTACCATGGTGGGTACTGGTGCAAGTTCGTGATTTGACTACTGACCAGTGGTCTGGGCCACACGAGCTCATAACCTGGGGAGGAGGATATGCTTGTGTCTCCACAGAGAGTGGACCGCGATGGGTTCCAGCACGGTGCGTGCGACCTGTGTTGCAGTCACTGCCCTCCTCGTCCCCAGAAGTTATGGAGGAGGAGATTGGCCTCCAGCCCCTCCCCAAGGAACTGACAGCAACGTCTGGATAACCCTAGCCAACACCATCAATCAAAGCACCATATGCCTGGATACCAGTGATCCTCGAAATCCCTTTTCTACATGTCTGATGGGAGTTCCAGCGGAGAAAACCGATTGGTGGCAGGTATCCGCGCCAGCCGAATACAAGGGCTTTAACTGCTGCATGAATCTATTTGATCACAGTGAGTCTGTACGCAGAAGTATTCAGATGCTGAAAGATGGAGTATACAAGCTGCAAGTGGATGATGGATGGGAGCAGTTAAATAAACTGTTTGCTAACTGGGGTCTGTCTGGGTGGTTATGTAATTATTGTAATTGTGTTATTAATGGTACCTTGCTTGATCGGTCTTCTGTGAAGGGCCCTGCAGCGAACCATTAGTGCCATTTTTGTAGCACAGATACAAAAAGGGGGAATTGCCAAGGGTTACAGCAGGTCTGTGGAATCCGTGGCTCCCTCAGTGCAGAACGTTAACCTTGAAAAGATTAGAGTGTATCTATGAGATAAGGAATTCACACAGAGACTGCCGAAAATTATTAACAAGTTTAAGGAGGTTTTGGCCATGGAGCAGAAACTGGCCAAGCTAAGAATCGTCCAATGATAACTCTGTTAGTAGCTATTGTCCTTTGTAGTCCTCACCAATAAGCAGCAGCCACGATGAGGAAATCTCTGTATGAATAATGTACTATGAGAACAATAAATCATAGTTTGCATTGCATCTACCCCAGTTGTTTGTGTTTTTGGCTGCCACAACTGCAACAGCCCCATGTACTTCTTCATCATCAAGCTCTCCCTACTCGACCTTGGCTCCATCTCCACCACTCTTCCTAAATCCATGACCAATTCCCTGTGGAACAACAGGGCCATTTCCTACTCAGGATGTGCCTCACAGGTTTTCTTTATACCATTCCTGTTTTCGGTAGAGTTTTATCTCCTCACAGTCATGGCCTATGACCTCTTCATTGCCATCTGTAGACCCCTGTACTATGGGACCCTCCTGGGCAGCAGAGCTTGTGTCAAAATGGCAGCAGCTGCCTGGGCCAGTGGCTTTCTGAATGCTCTCCTGCACACTGGGAACACATTTTCCATACTCCTCTGCCAAGGCAATGTAGTGGAGCAGTTCTTCTGCAAAATCCCCCAGATCTTCAAACTCACTGTTCATACTCCTACCTCAGGGAAGCTGGACTTCTTGGGGTCAGTCTTTGTTTATGGTTTGTATGTTTCATTTTCATTGTGGTGTCCTACAAGCACATCCTGACTGTTGTGCTGAGGATCCCCTGTGAGCAGGGCTGGCACAATGCCTTTTCCATGTGCCTCCCACACCTGGTTGTCGTCTCCCTGTTTCTCAGCACTGCAGCATTTGCCTATCTGAAGCTCCCCTCCATTTCATCTGCAGCTCTGGATCTGGTGCTCTCTATTCTGTACTCAGTGGTTCCTCCAGCACTGAACCCACTCATCTACAGCATGAGGAACAGGGCATTGAAGAAACTGGCTCAGTCAGTGCTAGAAATATGCTTCCCATCCTTCCTACCAAGAGGTTCCTAATGCATTTCAGCTGGTTCTGTGTTTTGGGCATTCTCTCTGTTTATAGATTTCTTTTTTTTTACATATTTTTTGAATTCTTCCTACTTTGCCAGAAGCATGAACCCAGTCTGTTTAATTGCCATACCTGCTGTAAATATGTATGTCCTTGTGGGTCTCTGTCAGTCCTGCCTTCACTCAAATAAAGTGGATTTCCTCAGGCAGTGCTTGAAGGTTGGGCTCTCCTTCCAAAGCTGGAGTCCATAATGTGCTCAAGAACTTTCACTCTCAAAGAGTCTGTTGCTCTTTTGAGCCTCTCCAGGGGAGCCAGGCAATGATCTCTTAGATGATGTGTTAGGGAATGAGGATTGGATTCAGTTCTCAACTGTGGGTGCTCAGAGCTCCTGCAGGTAGTGAATGGTCAAATTGAATCTCCCATATGACAGGGCTGGAGATGGGTACAGAGCCTCCAGGAGAGCACAGGGCATCTCCAAGGGCACCATGTTCCTGGGAGTGAATGGAGCTTCAGAAAGTCAAGGGAAGCCACCCAAAGGAAAAGGACAAAACCCATGAATGTCCAGGCTAGTGAGAACTCTGTAGTGCTGCAAGAGGCAGTGGGGACCCAGGAGGCCCAAGGGTGGGAGCCTGGAGAGTCACTGAGGTCACCTTCAATGTCACTGTTTGGCTGCCTGGGCAGCTCCTTCCTGCTGGCCTCAGTGCCTGTAGCCAGAGGACCAGCTGACCCTGCCCAGACTCAGATGCCAGGGATGGCTCTGCACCAACCCCAACGTGGTACAAGACTGGAGTGTGATTCTTTTAGTTTACTTCATGCATATTTCCCAGGAGGAGGGGAGACAAGGGACAGAGAAATTGATGAGTTCAGCTGGGCCTCTGCACCTGAGCGGAACCAGGCTCCTGGGACAGAGGCAGCTCATGGCAGCCCTGCCCAGAGACAGCCATGTGCAGGAACAACTCCTGTGCCAAGAGCAGTAGGGCTGCAGGCACTGCCTGCTGCTGCGGACAGCAGAGGAGAGAAGGCAGCGAGAGGTGAATGGCAATGTTAAGGAGAGAGGAGAGCTTGTTGTGGGAGAAACTTTTCCAGCCCTTGACACGGTGAGTTTCTGGCTGCAGGGAAATGCTGCTGAGGTTCCTGGGGAGCTCTTCTGAACTCAGTGCATGGAATTATGGATTGGGATTTTAATGGTCTCTCTCCTGGAGTATGCAGGGTTTAGCAGGAGGAGGAGATGCTTCAGAGCAGGGATTCCCTGCCAAATAGTCACAGGGACAGGGCATGCTGCTCCCTTTTCCCATGGAAGATGTGAAGCTGCAGTCTGCACCCAGCTCTCCATGGGCTGTGATTCAGAGCAATATCCCCCAGGCCCAGGGTGCTGTGTGCCTGGGACAGTGACTCTGCAGCCTGCGAGGGGCAGCACT